GGAGCATTGACATAGAGTGCCAGAGGAGAGAGAAAGGGAGGAAAGAGAAGGAGGGACTAAGGAGAGAGAAGAAGAAGTGTGGGAGGAGGAGGTTGGAGAAGAAGGCAGACATAGTCGGGGGTGAGCAAAAAAAAAAAAAAAAAACATAATAATAATAATACAGCGAAAGTGAAGGGAAAGAAAGTGAAAGACAAGGAAATAGACGGCGAGGGTGACGAAGGTGAAGGTGCCGGCAACCATAGCCAAGGTGAAGGATTGACCGGGCGTTGACCAGAGGGTTGACCAAGGGTTGACCAGAGGGTTGACCAAGCATTCACCGGGGCTTGTCTGCGTTGACTCAGCGTTTTCCAAGGCGTTGACCGGAGCTGCTGACCAAGATTGTGACCAAGATGGAGTTGGTGATATCTCGTTGAACCCTCAGCCTATCCCCTTACCCTGTGGATGTGCACTTACCCCACGGTACTTGCTGAGTCTGTCTGTCTACTCTTTCTGCATTGAGTCTCTTTTGTCCTAGGTGCTAGGAATCTGTGGATGAAGGATAGGGCCTTGCTGCCCAACCCACACGGGCTTAGTAGGACCAAGGCTCTACTCTGGCACTTGGAGACCTGGGTTTTGCCGAGGGAGGAAGGCAATCCAGTGGCGAACCGGGGGGGGGCTGTTGGTGGCGAGAAGAGAACAACTATGGGTGATGTTGGTGCGGGTGGTATTGTCCTTGAGCTATTAAACTCCTGGGTTAAGGAGGGGTAGGAGTTAAGCTAGGCTTAGGAAGCGAGATTGACAGATATAGAATAGTTTACTACATCAACATAAACACCTTTAGTACTATCATCATGATTGGTTTCATCATCATCATCAATAAGAGGTCTAGGTGTACCAAAAACCGTCTCCTGCCAGATTAGTGTCAGGGGACCAAGTTACAAGTCGAAACCGTACATTCGCTGGAAAGATGTAGCGAAACGAGGTCACGTACCGGGACGGAAAGAAAAGTGAAGTACAGTGTACCCATACACCTGGGAAGGCCTGAGATTTTTCCAATTCGGGTCATGACATGAAAACTAGGGGGATGTTCCTCGAATTTCGGAGCACCTCAGGTTGGCCTGAGATTTTTCCAATTCGGGTCATGACATAAAAACCCGATCGTTCCCAGTCAAGTTCGAAATTGCAACAATAGACAAAACGTTCATCCCCTTTAGCTGCCTGGTTAAAATTTCACAAGTGTCCATAAACCGGCGTGTTTTTCCGCCATACGACTCTAACCTTTCTGATCAACAACCCCTGAACTGATTTAGGAAAAGTAGACCCAGATACAATTCGCAGGACAATAGCATGAACCTTAGATGAACTAAGTCGGTGATCATAAAACATCCGTACCAAGATCCTTCGTCGGACATCGATACCAATCTTACCTTTAAGAGCTCGTGCTAAGACACCCCGAAGCGAAGAACGGGTAGCCAAACCCGAAAAATTACGGATTGTATGATACCATCGCACTATCACATCGACGAATTTGAATTTGAGGAGTCGTCTCCTCCAAGGCTGCCGTAACAACAAAGCCAACTGCCCTTTGCAAATCGCCCTACCCCCCGGCGTAAAAACCACCTGACCAAAATGGAAAGTGCCTCCAGCTTGTAAATCATTCTTAAGATCTTTGAGAACAAAACAGGAATGTGCAAGAAAAACGTTAGTAAGTCCAAAACAGCATCTGACGATGGACCAACAATTGGCCCAAAGATTTCCTGGAGCAACCTCAATGGCAAAGTTGTTTTCATTACCTAGGCAAGCCCCCCGTAGGATAGTCAGAATACTGTCGGACCAGACTCCACCGATCCTACGAAACTTGAGAATCCCGCGCGACACGTCCACCGGTCCAGATCCCAATCGTTTCAACGTAGCTAACCTCTGACTAGATGATAACCTCTTCTTCCTATAATTGAGTACACAAGAAAAGTTCTTAATTAATGCCTTTTCCGCCGCTATGACCGAATCAACACCATTAAACAACGAAACAACCACATACTTCCATATACCAAACGATCGCAACCATCAGTAAAGCTTAGGAGACACCCCGAGACCCACCGATTTGACCGTTCTCACATGTTCACCCCATCTAACGTAGATTCCTCGAACCGAGCATCCTATATACTGCGCCTTACACCAGGGAGAAGTGAGGAGATAGACGACCGGAGCAGATTGCCAAGCATCCCAATCCACCGAGAGTAAGAGCGATTTAAACTTAAAAACCCAGAGGATCTCACCCAAAAGAACAAGCGCCACAAAGCAAAGAGTCAGACACGAATCATACAGTTGGCGCAGCCGAGGAGACAAACCAAATTCCCATGCCCTGCACCTGTCACTCATGCACTCCAACAGGTTAGACCATAAGCGAAAGCGAGATTGTCTCGCCAGTCATCCAGAAGGGGTACGCTCCTCCTCCGGAATGTCAGCAGGTGAAGGAGAAGGCGTGAAGATGAATCCCTCATAGGCCAACTTGGCTCTAGCCTCAATGATAGTCTCAATCGTGGGCCCCTTGGTCGTATAAGAGAGCCCTTCTTGTGCACATATGGCCTTGAGCTGGTCCTTTGTCTTGGGCGTGAGGAGTCGCCTCTGGCCAGTACTTACGCCAAAAAACCGTCTGGGCCGCTTCCTGCAGCGATCTTCGTCCGGCCCCTTGCTTCCCCCATCCTTGATGACTCCCCTGGCAGCGGGGAGTCGACCACCGATCCTTCGCGTCGGAAAACCAGTTGCCTAAATGGTCGCCTGCCCTCCCCCTCCAATTGCTCCTTACCCTTGCTTTTTCTCTCCCGGATTTCATATAACTTGGCGATCTCATCTTCAATTTCTTCCAGACCCTTGTCAGCATAATCCGAAACACCCCTATCTCTCGGAGCACTTCGTGGCGTACGGAAAAGCGGAACCCGTGATTCCTCCACCCTCGCCTCTTCCTTAGCCGCGAGATACTGCCGTCCTATCTTAGACATGACAAGAGCCTCCAAAGCTTCAGAATTCCTCTCAATTTCTTGCTTAATCATCTCATCAAACCTTCTCCTTTCTTTCAACTCCTTCCTCCGTAAATGCTCCTTCTCCTTTTCACTAATTAGTTGCCTCAAAAACTCACACTCTTCATTACTATCATCAGGTTGCCATCGCGGAGCCCAGAAACGCGGTGCCACCTGGCCACCTGTGGAATTGTTTCCTTGCGTCGAAGGGGCACTCCGGGTCGAAGGACACTCCCTTGCAAAGTGTCCTTCCCCACCGCAATTGAAGCACTTACTGTTGGATGCAGCCATAGCTGCCACAGAACAAGTGAAACCTGTGGGATGAAGACTACAAAATACCGCTAAAAGCAACGGGATCGAAACCAAAGGACGGCGAGATCGAAACAAACAAGTACACAGTACTCAGGCGGATCTAATCCTGGCGAAACACCACTCTAACAGAGTTGGACACATCATCAAAGATAACAATAATCCGAATCATAACATCCACCTCAGAGATAAGGAAGAGACAACGGAACAAGACACGTTCCATTACGTAGCTCGAACAGCGTACCCCACACAAACGAACCGTGAAGATAACTGCTCGATGCACAAAAACACGTAAAACACGAGATTGACAACCACCCAAAACTCGTAAATCACATAATTGACCACCATCCAAGACCTAAGAAGCTAAACGTAAACGTGGCCACCAATCTAGTGTTTAATCTCACTAGAGGTTGTCACGGTAATCGGAAAGGGAAAACTGCCCGGCAAGACAGAACCAGCGTGAGATGGAGCAAGACAAAGATACACCAATGTAAAACCACTCCGATGCGCACGCAAAAGTAGTAACACAACTGAGAACAGCAAATCACAATCCACAGACCACGCGGCCAACCCTCGACGCGTTTCGTCTATCCCGCACATAGACTCTTCAGGAGGACAGATCAGAAGATGYTGTCGCACTACCGATAGGGGCCATACCCATGCCTTGCCCCTATATATAGCTATCCTACACCTACTCTACCCATCATCCTTACACCAGCAAAGCCGAGAGCAGAAAAAATGCGAGACAGCCGAAAAATGAGAAATCGTCGAGGAAAGAGATAATCAGACACCATAGTAGTCGTAGTCTCGTAGATGCCCCGAGAACCGTCGTCAGAGGAGAGCATGCACTTGCCATACTACTAACTCCCAGCGGAAAGAGATACCTGCCACACAAAAAAGACAGCAGAGCAAACACAGCACAGCACAACCAGAGCACAAACACGTAACACTTGAAGYCGTCGTCGGATCGGAGAAGCACCTCGCTGGATGGCGCAAGAGCGGCAGGCGGGCGTGCACTGCAGAACACCGCTGGAGGGGCACACAAGTGTGCTGAACAAGTGTTACCAGCAACGCCCATATCAGCAATGCCCAGAGCGTCGCCTCCGTTCACGCTACAACCGTCGGCGCACGTTCTCAATGAAGATGAAAGGAGAAGCACAGGCGACTGACTGCGTATATACTGTATTTGTGCTACAAGGTCCCGCGCAGCAGCTCAATAAGAGGTCTAGGTGTACCACAAACCGTCCCCTGCCAGATCAGTGTCAGGGGACCAAGTTACAGGTCGAAACCATACATTCGCGGGAAAGATGTAGCGAAACGAGGTCAGGTACCGGGACGGAAAGAAAAGTGAAGTACAGTGTACCCATACACCTGGGCAAAATCCCGCCAGTACGAGCCAACCTTCGCAAAGCCTATCCCGAATTCCTCCGAAAGAAAACCCCCCTCCATTCATAGCGGCCAAAAAAGGGAAACCCAAAGGAGGCTACAAAAGTTGGGCCCGCACGCCACCCGAAATGCTGGCCATAAAAGGCATAGTGTACAGGGCCTAAGAGGCCTGTTTGGCAAACATGCCAAACCCCAAACCACCAGTACTTCCTAGAGTCGTGCCCCTTAACGCGCCACGATTTTAGGAAACGTACGGGCTACTACAGGAGCACCCAAATTCATCCGACTGGAAACCTTTCTACTCTTTTTTTTTCCGCGGCCTATAGCTGGGCCAAGTACTGGTCATTTAATGACCGCTTTGTATCCGACCTCGGGCTTGTAGTCCAGCAGACAAATTTTCTTTCAGGCGTCGTCCACTGCTTTCCAACCAACGTGCAATGGTAAGACTGCCACCTTTTTTTTTTTCTTTTTTTTTTTTACCTTCTGAGCTGGTTCTGTCACTAGAGGGCAGTCATAGGTGGTTCTGTTTGTTTTTTTTCTAAAAGGACTGCGCCGTACTCTGCTGCAGTGCAATACAGAGGCAACTGTTACACTGGAGGGGCCGAGTAAGCAAGCTTACCCATATAGGGGGTGTTGTTATTTTTTTTGATACCTTGGTTCTGACTACTGTGGAAGCTGTCTTTGTTAAACCCAAAGACTGCAACTTTTTAAGTGTGCTTTATTCCGCGGGTGATGATCTAACCCGGCCGGCGTACCCATATGCCGGACAAACCGTTTACAGTCTGAAAAAAAAAAAAAAAAAAAGTCTCACACTGAGTCACACATCTAAG